GCGGTAAGAACTTAGTAATGATTAGCTAGGCTCAATTAAATTAAATTCATGTGATTAGGCCTCATCTGCCAGAAATATGGTTAACCCCGGAATCAATTCCTGTTCCCTTAGTCGTTAATTAAGGAAAACCAAATCTTTTTATTCGCTCATTAGCATTAGTTTTATTTCAATCAATCAACCAATCTCGCACAATTGCATTTTTATTTTATGTTATTTTCTTTTTAATCGCTAAAGTTTAGTTAATCTTTATTTCCCTTTTGTCCGTCCCTGTGGAGACGATACTCGTACTTTCAACCACTTTACTACATCCTTTTTAAGTGCGAGAAAACACACATCACACTGTCTTAAAAAAGTAGCCTAATAATTCAATCAATTCCCTAGAAGAAGCTAAGGGAGCTCTAAACTTTCAGGAGAAATTATGGGCAGCAGAACTAGTTCAAAGATGTCTCAGGCATTGCCCAAGTCAAGTTTGGTGTCAATTAGTATTGCCCCAGCAGTACTTTCAACAATGTCTCCCAGTTTTTGTTAAGTAGTCATACGCAAATAAGTAAGTCTAGATCAAAATACACTAAAGATCCATTTTAAAAGCGTAAATACGGAGTATGGAGTAGTAGTCCATCACCACGTCGATAGGATAGTTGTATTGACTATTGAGTGTCAAGTTGTTGTAGCATTTGTGAGTTGGATTAGGGGTTTCTTAAAATCAAATGAGCATATGTGTTAATATTTTTTATTTAAGCTAGCTAGATATTAAGATATCCGTCACTACAATTGACATTCATGTCATAGTTTACTTGTTTTGGGGATATTATACTCCGTAGCATTTTGTGACCGAATTAGAAGTTTCCATCATGAGTCCCAAAACGAATTTTTTTTTTTAATTTCAGTCCTAGACCACATCAGAACATATTAAACCAGAAAATTTACCAGATCAGACCAAAAAATTAAAAACATCATAATTCATAACAAATTTAAAAGTCAATAAAAAAGTCATGGCTCAATTGAGTTTTAGGGTTGTACAATGGTGGATCGTTTGGGGGTTTATTTCACTCGAGTTAAGTAAATGTCAAACAAGTTCTAACTCGAGTCAAACAATTGATTTTTTTATCTAACTATTAAGTAAATCAAGACCAATTTATAATCCACGTTCATGTGATAATTTTAGGAAAATTCATTTTGTACACGCCAAATTTTACACGCCTTTCAAATTGTCTGTACACAGACAATTTGACCGGCTACACATACAATATGACTTGTGTTTTATGAAGAAAATTGATTTTCACACAGACAAAAATACAAAAAAAAATGTCTGTATCTCACACACTTTATGAAAAATTCCGATCTAAAATGTCTGTGATACATACAACTCTTTACTTTTGTCTATGTGGAAATCGATTTTCTTCATAAAACGCCGGTCAAGTTGTCTGTGTAGCCGATCAAATTGTCTGTACACAGACAATTTGACCGACGTGTAACCCGACGTGTACACGAAGCGGGACTCATAATTTTATTGCATTTTCGGTAATGGTAGCATTTGTGGACTGAATTATTGGTTTCTAGCACCGAAGTGAAATACATGTCAAATAGTTTGTTAAACATCAGTCCTCAACCAATTTTAAAATTTACGTTCATATGATATAGAGGCCGTTTGACAACACTTTTTTCGGCTTACCAGTCAATTTTTTCACCAAACGCGTAATTTTTGTTTTCGCGCGTTGAATTGTGTAATAAGCAGAAAAAGTAAGATTGAAGTTACTTTTCTGGCTTTATTGACTGAAGTTACTGTAGATTACCATTTTAGCTATTTTTACATGTATTTTTTTCTTTATTTTAATAATAAAATATATTTTCAAAATAATTTTTTCATAAACCAGCAGAATCAGCCAATGCAGCCACTTCAGCCAGATTTTCATAAATTTCAGCAGAATCAACCAAAACAACCGATTTTTTGTGTTACCAAATGGGCTCATAATGTTGGTGCATTTGGGAATTTGGGCCATTGCATCATTTGTGTGTCAATTAAGGAACTTCTATAACCTGAGTCAAATAAATTTCAAACGATGATGTGTTTTTTTTTTAGTTTCTATTCACAATAACCATTTTGCTAAACACAGCCACCATTTTGCTAAACAGAGCCAATTTTTTTTCATAATTCCTGTTATGTCCTTAATAATACCCAAAGTAATACAACCTCCGCGAATCACGTTTGTGTAGTCTATCTATTGCAAAGGGGAAATAACGGATTCGTCAATAACAACTTAACAAGTCACTGCCGGATTCCATAGCTTTGACGTGTCGTTCATAACGTCATTAAAATATCTGGCAATCATTCTTCTCCTTGAGTAGAGAATGACAGAATTTTTAGATCTATTTTTTACATTCTGCCACGTTGGTGTCCTATCACTAGAGCAAGGATCATCTTGTTTCAGATTCCAATAGTTTAAGAAACATCGGTTTCAACCTTCAAATTCACCTCCCCTATCTTTCAGATTCACATTAGTTTCAAATAGGTTAAAAAAATTAAGAGGAAACTGTTCCAAACATCGAAATCACAAAAACTAATGGCCTAAAATTTGAGTGTTTGAAATCGAATGAGTTTTAGAGCTTTGAGAGTGTCAGCCATGGCGACGTTGGACCTATTCGCCGGAATTTTATTCTTGTTACATAAAGACTGGATCTAACAACTGAAAAAAGATGACCACAGATTTGTCCGCACACCGGAGATAGGAAAAACCTTTGGCCGCACGTCGTTGCAATACACATACGTGATTTGCCTAAGCAGAGCTGTATGAAGGGCATAATAGGAACTATGAAATTATGTGATTGTATTTACTATTTAGTAAAAAGATGGCTGTTAATAGAATTTCCCGTTTTTTTCATCTAATTAATTTGAAATTCATGACTAACTTTAAAATTCACGTTCAAGTGATAGTCCAATCGATTTTTGGGCAATTGTTGCGTTTTGTGGGCTAATTTATGGATCAATCACTGAAGTGCAGAAAATGTAAAACGAAGCATAATAATCATCTTTCTTCTAAATATTAATTAATCCAAAATCTATTGTACAATCCACGTTTATGTAATAACCCAATCAAACTTATGGAGTTAGGGTCATTGCAGCGTTTGTGGGTCGAACTGGGAGTCCCGATCACCAGTGTATAAAAAATGTCAAGCAGACTAGTTAATGATCATTTTCGTGTAAATATTATGACCAATTTTATAAAATTCACGTTTGTTTGATAGTCCAATAGAATTCCGATTCTTTGTAGCGTTTGCGGGTCGAATGGGAGTTTTTATCACCTTAATTCGAATGAAAATTTTATTCACAAAGCCAAATTTACTATTTACAATCACAAATGTATATCAAATAAACTCAAATATCCATAATACCCCTATTATTCATATATCAAGCAAGATACTCCTAATCATTCATTGTTAGACTAATCGTAATCCCCTCCAGTCAATAAATCAAATTTTTCATTAATTTAAGTGTATTCACTCAGTCAGTTTAATATTTACAAAATAATTTAGAATTAATACTTGTTTTTGTCTAACATGCGGCCAACACTCCATCATCATCACATTCTTCTCCTCCATCTGCTTTGAGCCTGTGAATAGCATAGCAAATTCCCCACCAAGGGTGCCCATAATGCACTTTGTCACTCTTGTGCACAAGGGACTTTAACAACACTTGCCAAAGATAATGAAATGCATCTTCTATTCTTCTTTGCCGCTACATCCTCCCAACTCAGGGTGAGCATTAGAAGAAAAAAAGTGTTTGGCTATGCATTTTTCATACTTCATGTTCTTTATTTAATTTACCAAAAACATCTAACACCTACCATTTTAAGACACGTTTACTTCACGAGTTACTAAACGGTGCTTATTAAGATCACATTAATAAGCGGTGCATAAAATAAGCATGCAGTAGTGTAAGGTCATGTTTACTTCAAAGGATTTAAGCAACGAAGTAAACATCTCATAACTGTTTTTGAATCCAAATTACGAATCGAATCAAAACTATTCACTTTGTTACAACACTTAAGCTTTGAATGATACTTTTGATTTATTATTAATGTGCTTGAATTGGAACGTGTATACGTAAATAAATGTAGGAGTGAGCATAATGGTTTGGTTTAACCGAATCGAACCGTACCAAACCGAACTAAACCGAACCGAAACCGGACCGTATGTAATTTGATTTGAGTTTGGTAATATTTCTTCCGAACCGTATTAAATCGAACCGAACCGAAACCGATAAAAACCGAACAAAACCGAACCAAACTAAAGAAATTCAAAAAAAACTTCATATATTTATAAAAATCAACAAGTCCAAACCGAACCAAATCAAACTAAACCGAATCGAACCAAACCGAAAAATAGTACGATAGTATGATTTTTGTTTGATAGCAATTCTTCCAACCAGTTTCAAACCGAACCGAAGCAAAACCGATAGAAACCGAACCAAAAATCGATATGCCCTGCCCTACGTAAATGTATGGCTACACTTTAACCGTTTAACTAGTTTTCAAAAGTTATTGTAGTGTTATTAATATTATTATGCTATTATAATTATAAATAAATATCGAATATATTTGATTAACATTAAAATCGAATATGCTGATATTCTTATTTGTAAATTGTAATTGATAACAATTCAAATCAAATTTAATATTCTTATGTGTATTGAAATTTTACAAATTCGAATAATCTTACATGAATTAGAATCTCAAACTGAGTATAAATTATTCAATTCGTATACAAGCCTAGTGTACACTAATGTGTAATCCGATGTGTACAAATCACAAAATTATAAAATCTTTATAAAATGTTGAAGACCCTCATATTTTACTTAGTAATCCCTCCTACCAAAATTGTCATCTTTCATTTTCTGTCTATATCCCAAATATTGTTCCATAATTGAATATCAATCACATAAATTTAATTTTTTAATAAAGATATCATACCATACCATGTTAGTGGAATCAAAGTACTAGTAGATTTTATTAGAATCCCCAATAATCTTCCATGTTGAGGAATTCAAAATCCATATTGCGAGAGTAATCACCCTATCACAAATTCCGACCAATGCCCCCTTTCCTTCAATATTTTGCAGTTTCACAACTTCCATGGAAGTGTGCGCAGGAGCTCGACGCCTACCATTTCCGCCTGAGAAACGTGACGTTGAAAAAATAAAGCAAAAGCTCCTCCAAAGCGGCGTTGAACCAACTCCCAAAATCATACACAATATCTGCAAAAAACGCCTCCAGAAAGTCAACCGTCGGCAGGCCAAACAGGCCGCTAAGGAACCACGGCCTCTTACTGACGCCCAGAAAGAAACCCTGGCTGAAGAGTTTCACTTCCAAGCCATAAAATCCGAGTACAAAAGCTTCGAAAGAACTGTAAATGCGAAAAATGAGGGGAAACTCATAGGACGGCCGTGGGAGAGACTTCACAAGCTTCAAATGCAAGAACTTTCAAGTGAAAATATGCAGTATTCTGGTGACAAGTTAAGCGCTCAGCCTTTGAGGGAGCTTCGTGACATACTCGAGTGCGAAAGGGAGAAATACAGGTGGATTCTGGATGACGATGTCCAGATTGAAGATGGGTTGTCTGGTAATAAGAGCTCAAATTGGGAACCACCAAAGCTCAGAGGGGGCGAATCTGGGGCAATACGGTTTGTCATTGACAAGTATGTATACATATAAGGTTTCCAATGTTTCCAAAAATTAGGCATGATAAGTAAATTTTGTCATACAGAGTTTTTGGTTCCCTATAGATGTTAATTGCTTTCTGTATGTGTTGTAGATTGAGTGGTACAAAAATAGTTGCCAAGAACTATAAGTTTGTGCGGGTTATGAAACACTCGGGGTTGCAGTTTACAGAACGTCAAATGCTAAGGTTAGTGGAAGGTCTTGGGGATAGAGGAGAGTGGAGGCATGCATTGTCTGTTGTTGAATGGGTTTATAACTTGAAGGAGCATAAATATTGCAGAAGCAGGTACTACTTGTATTGATTTCTGTTTGGTGCTAGACCAAATTTACTGTTCTAGCATTTAAAAATAAAAAATAAACATATTTGTTTACTTAGGTTTGTTTATACAAAGCTCTTGGCAGTTCTTGGAAAATCTATGAGGCCTCATGAAGCTCTTGAAGTGTTCAACTTGATGAGAGTAATTACCAAACTATGGTGCTTATGGTCTCTCTCAATTAAGTGCGACTCTTTAGATAATATGACAAATGATGATAAAATCAAAGGATTTTCTGCATGCAGGGGGATGCCAGAATATACCCAGACATGGCTGCCTATCATAGTTTGTGTGTTATACTTGGCCAAGCTGGTCTTCTAAAAGAGTTGATCAGAATTATTGACTGCATGAAGGAAAAACCCAAGAAAATTCAAAATATGAGACACAAAGATTGGGACCCTGCCATTCTACCAGACGTTGTCATATATAATGCTGTAGGTGATCGAATTCTATCATGCCAGTACTCTGATATAAACTCTGCAATGTACTTATTGGTGTGATTGCCTTTATCAATTTGGCTGGCTAGGTTTTAAATGCTTGTGTTCCATCTCGCCAATGGAGAGGAGTACATTGGGTCTTTCAGCAGCTAAGGAAGAATGCCTTGAAACCCAATGGTGCAACCTATGGACTTGCGATGGAGGTAATTATTGACCTAGTTGTATACAGTTACTGTGAGATATGGTTTTCTAAAAATATAAGTATATATGTGTGTGTGTGTGTGTATATATATATATATATTCGTTTATATTTATATTTTGAAATAAACTGCAGATTATAGCAGGGCCACTTAATTTGTCGTGAAATCTAAATCCACATAATAAAATATGTTTTACTACATCATCATCATTGGCTGTATTCCAACTATGTTAGGGGGGTTTACACACACACACACACATATATCTATATATGGGTGAGGTTCAAGTAAGAAGAAGCCTTTAGGTGAGAAATGAGAATGAATCTCAGCCGTTGGATTCGACTATCTTGCTGTAAAAACACTTTATATTGCATTAAAATATGCAACCTAGTTTGGTGGCATTTTCTGAAAAATCCGTATTACAGCCATCTAGTGCAACATGAAACTGTTTCAGTGCAACGTCTTCAAATTTTAGTGCAATATGAAATAGTTTTAGTGCAACACTGCAAAAATTTAAATCTTACTGCAACATCAAGCTATTTTCAGTGCAAAATCGGAAATCCAACGGTTGAGATTCATTCTCATTTCTCACATTAGATGCATTTCTCACTTGAACCAAAATCATATACACACACACTAGTGTCAATAAGTAGGCCAAAGTTAGTTTACAACTTGACACTATCAATTCATGCAAAAAAGCACAGTGATGATGTTTTTTGCAAGATGTCCTTGCTATCCAAATGATCTTACACAGTTGGATGAAATTCAATAATCTTTATCATCGATTTTTTTCCGACATGCTTGGAATTTGGAAAACATCACATGACAGCCATCGTATAACATATTACAATAAAGCATTTGAGAGCCATTTTTTGAATTTCTTTTTTCTCTTCATAGTATCATTTCAATCTCTCATGGCTTTTTTATATTTTTATTCATATTAAGCACTCAAAAGGTACAGGATAAATATAAAAAATTGCAGGGTTGGGTTGTCCACCAAAAGAATGTTCTGCATTTATATCCAAGGCACTTCAGTTATATCATCAAGCTGCATTTGCATTGTAAGGTGATATTTTCAACATTAAGGCAAATTTTTGTTGAAAGGTGATGTTGAGATCTAGGAAGTATGACCTTGTGCATGAATTCTTTGAGAAAATGAAAGCAAGTGGGGTTGCTGTCAAGGCAATTACATACAAAGGTATTATATATCCCTAAACATGTTACAATGCTATAAGCTTTTGCGTTGTAGCTCAGCATTTACTTTCTTAAATTTAGTTCTTGTCAAAGCCTTCTGGGAAGAAGGCAAGGCAAATGAAGCCATTCATGCTGTTAGGGAGATGGAACAAAGGGGAGTTATTGGAACTCCTTGTGTGTATTATGAACTAGCTTGCTGCCTTTGCTATCACGGAAAGCTGGAAGGTGCCTTTTTCGAGGTAAGTTTTAAAGTTTGTTCCAATTTACCAGTGACCAATTGTTTGTATGAATCCTTTGACTCAACAAAGTGGTTGTATGACCTCCTTGCTTATAATCTACAGTAAAATAATTTGGTTGATATCTGAGGTCACAGAATTAGTGTGCAATTGATATATGAGTTTACACATTTTTTATACATTAAACTAAGTCATTGATTTAGATTTTAGTGGACCTTGTAGCTTGAAATTGACACTTTTAAAACCATATTGGTTACATGAATTCGGTTTTTTATTTTCTAACTAATTCTGAAACTTTAACATTATGTTGATAATTTTTAAATTTATTCTTTATTTGTGTTGATAGGAATTTTACCCTTTAGTTTCTAAATTTTTATAGAGTTGTGTGAAGCAACTATCTCCCACTGGAGTGGTTGATTCCTAAGCCTTTGTTTTCCATCTACATGCCATGGAAAATTGGTGACAAACTTACAAACTATGATTCTTTGAAACATTTCTACAGATTAAAAAACTAAGAAGCCTTGGTTGGACTAGACCTTTGGCAGTTACCTTCACTGGGATGATATTGTCTTCAATGGATGGTGGACATATTGACAATTGCATAACCATATATGAGCACTCCAAAAAACACTGCAAAATGGACACTGGAATCATAAATGCCATGCTGAAAGTGTATGGTCGTAATGATATGTTTCTTGAAGCCAAGGAATTATATGAGTTGACAAAGAAAGTAGACACCGGTTCTCAAATTAGTATTAGTCCAGATATATACACTTTCAGTTCCATGCTTGAGGCATCTGCTCATTCTCTCCAATGGGAATATTTTGAGAATGTCTACAAGGAGATGACCCTTGTTGGACATCAGCTTGATACAAAAAAACATGCACACCTGCTGGTGGATGCATCAAAAGCTGGGAAGGTACAATTACTTTAGCATATATGTGTGCATCCTTGCTCTTAACAAGGGGCGAAGAAAAAAAGTTACAAATTAAAACCGACCAAAAATTAACCAACCAGAACTGATAGACTGACCAGACCACATGCAGTTTGTTTAGGGGTTAAGGTTTGACCATAACATGCTTAAACCAACTGAATCCTACATCAACCAACTGAAATTGACCCAAATCAACTTTACAACTTGGGTTGTGGTTCAGTTAACCGTTTTGCATTTCCCAAAACCGAAACAACCAAAATGAGAACCAACTGAAACCATCTTAAGTTGCTCGTTTCGGTTTTCAGTTTTGCATTTCCCAAAACTAAACCAACCAATCCGAAGACGAACCAGTGAACACCCTTGCATTTGACAAAAGTTGAAGCAGCTACACAACTAAATTTGTTAGAATGCCTTGTATCATCGAAACTAAAAAGAAAAACAACACAATATAGATACATGGTTTATCGCTAAGAGCCTTGAGATATTTATTACACTTCTTATTTTTCAGTAACTGTTGATGATTAGGGTGAGATCTGCTGCCTGTGTTGCACCCTTCTAACATACATTCTTGATCCAGGGACATTTACTTGATCATGCATTTGACACAATTTTAGAAGCTGGTAAGGTGCCTCCTCTGTCATTTTTCACTGAGATCTTATGCAGTGCAATCTCGCAGCATAATCATGAAAGAGCTGTCAGCATGGTCAACATGCTTGCTGTTGCACCTTACCAAATCACCGAACATGAGTGGATTGAGTTCTTCGAAGGCAACCAGGACCGGGTAAAGAATGCTCATTTCCAAGAATTGTTGGAAATGCTCTGCACAGAGGGCTTGAGAAGTGAAGCTACCATTGTAAATTTGTCTAGAGCATTACAATCTCTCTTGGGGGATAGTGGCTCAAACAACTTGAATTCTGGGGGTGGTAATGATCTAAAATCTGGCAAGGGGGGAGGTGTTACAGATTTGATATTCAATGATTATTTTGATGAGTTTGAGGAACTAAATTTGGAAACAGTGACCACTGAGGAAGAAGATTCACATGAATCGGGGATGCCATCAACATATGAGATATTGCAGTCATGGAAAGAAATGGAGGAAACACGGTAGCATTTTCCTCCTAGTTCATATAAGCTACCAGTGAACTTACCCCTTTCCCTAATGATGCAACAAGATAAAGAAAGTTCAAGGTTTTGGTCTAATGTCAGCAAATTTCCCTGCAACCCTCTGGCCAGATTCCATTTTTTACACCATACTAAATCATGCTTCTTGTGTAGCTAGCGAGGTGCAATACCAGAAACTTCAATGCATCATTGACAAGCTTTTCGACCTCATGAAACTTGAACGACTGGATTACATCTGCCTACGTAATTGCAGTATCCGCCTACGATTCCACGTGTCGTAGTAGCTCTGTAGGCATGTTTTTCTTAATGTATTTGTTATTTTAATTATTTTCGAAAAGATGGCACGATTTGTCTTATGCACATTTTTCTTAATGTTTTTGTTTATTATAAATATTTTCGAAAAGATGGGGAGAATTTGTCTTCAAGCAAAGCTTGTTTTTCTTTCTATATTTAAATAATCAGAAGCTCATCATTAGTTTTTGAAATTTTCATCGGTCTATTCTGTTATATATGGTGCTGGGATAGTGGGATATGAATTTGGTGAGGTCAGCACTGCTTGAGCTGAGAGATGGAATTATTGGTGAAGGGCTTGCTCGATCAGTCGATCTCGAATAAATTCGGGATATATTTACTTCGCTGCAAAGCATTAGGCTACCCTTCTGTTCAACGGGCATCCAAAACCTCTCACAACTTCAATTAGATGTCACCATCTGGGCAGAAGTGGCCACCGCCACAGGTACTATGTGTTGCCACCAACATCTATCACAGTATCACTATCAGTCATTGGCTACTACGACTGACATTGCATGTTCTCTCCACGGTTAGCCGCCACCAACACCATTGTTGGTCGCCACAACCTTTGACGGTCACCATTGGACATCAAGGAAAAATATGTAACTTGCTTCATAAGTTGTGATTTAATGTTTGTGAAGTAAATTCATCATTGTCATTGCAATGTTAACTGTGTAATTCTAAAAAAAACAATTACTTATGAGACTTAATAGGTATCACTAAAAAACTTGTGTGGTAATCATGTCCTGTGCCGCCCTACACAACATGTATTAGAGATTTAATAGTAAAAGGAATCCAAAAGCTGCTTATACTAATACTAACTAGTTAAAATAGGACCACAATGCAACATAGAACTAGCACTAGCAACAACAATACCGATAGCTTCAAACGTATAATAATTCAGTTTCGTGTGGTAATTCTCTGACAAAATATACCGATTCAGCAGCCCAAATGTGTTGTGGGACATGAAAGGGTTGAAGCAAGATACTAGTTTACAAATTTAACCACTTATTATGCTACTGGTATGTTTGACATTTGATGAAGTTAGCGACCACAAATTTATAACCTTATTAATTTAGTCTTTGGGGGATGTTGTTATAGAGTGTTTGTTATACCTTTTACTTTAAAAATATTTTTAAAGTAATTTTAGAGAAATTTATAATAGTAAAACTAAAACTTAGTGATATTTGAGAAAAAAATGATTTTCGAAAAGTAAACACAATTTAAAACATTCAGTCATGCGCTTCAAGCTTTTAGCTTTAAAGCTTAATTTAAGAGTAAAGTTGTTTTTACTTGGACAGTTTTCAGCCCCAGACCAGTTCCAGACCAGACTTGGATAGTTATTAAAATACACAGAAACCAGACATTAGCAGACCAGATCAGTTCAGAACAGATCAAACCAACAAATTTCAGTCCAAGTAAAAACATCCTAACCTCTCATTTGAAAACATTAATTTCATACTTGTATTTTTTAAGCAAAAAGTTGATTCTTTTTACAAACACTCCTCAAGTCTTGGCAAGATAAAAAAATAGACAAAGCATATGTCTTATGTCTATGGGGGTAGCTAATGTATTCCCAAAACCTTAATACGTAGTGATTTAACTTGGAGAAAAGTGTATTGGTAATAATAAGCTTTTTCTCTTCTTTGCATACTTGAAAGAGGTTTGACGGCTCAACTTTCTCTCAACAAAAGTGCCACAACTAAAGAAACCTTACAACTTGATTTCCAAGGGGATAGTATAACCAATAAACTTGTACTCCCTAATGATTTTCATAGGGAAAATCGCAAATTTTTCTATATTATTAGTTATTAAGAGATCAACCATCAACCTAGAAAGACTTAGGGCGTATATGCTTTACTATTAATTAAGTTTATACTACCATTTGTACCTCTAAGCTCTAGCCAGTAAATATGGATAACAAGTCCAACTAGCACTAAATAACCAATTAATTCAAATAAGTCATGCTCCAATAAAAAGCGGTCTTCCAATGAGAAATGCGATCGTCTCCACTTTTGATCGTCTGAAGCTCACTATTGTACCTAAATGATTTTCGTCGTTCACTTTTGCTCACCCACAGACCAGAGTACACTTTTACACATAGGAAGACTACTTTTTGCAAAGAAGTAAAACTTCGATTTATTTACAAAAATGTCACCGAATTTTTTATTCATATTTGACATATTTAGAGCCATTACATCTTATGTTCGATGCACCTGACTTATTCCTACTTTTTATTTGATCCTACATCCAATTCAAACAACTAGTTAATTATTATGCTCCCAAATAGTGTGCAAGTAGGGATGTTTAAAATATAATGACCACTTAATTAAGAGCAAATATGGGCGAGGTACTAAAGCAGTGTTTGCGGTTGCTTAAAAAAAGTGTTTTTCAGCTTTTGGCTTATAAAAAGCTAAAAAGAGTGTTTTCAAATGACAGCTTCTGCTTAAATTAATCACTTAAAAGCTAAAAGCTGGAAGCAGGTGGAAGGGTGCTTTAAACTGTTTTTCACTTTTTCTATTACACAAAAAGTACTTATTTTACCAAACACTATCAACTTTTACTTTTTCAGAATCACTTTTTTCTCAAACACTACCAACTTTTACTATTAATCACTTTTCCCAAAATCACTTTAAAAAATCATTTTTTTAAAGTTGAAGCAATTGCAAACACTCCCTAAGTAGCGATTATATTATTTATTTACATTGGATGTGAGTTACGTGAGTATATTTGAATCCCAAATGGTTATTCTAATATTCTAGACCTGAATTTTAATTTATTCAAAATTTAAAACTAGTTTAAACTTGGATACAATAATAGAAAGAAAATTTATATACTTATACGTACAAATTATATGCACACCTCGCAATATATATATATATCCATATTGAAGTTTTTTTGTTGTTAAACTTTAAATATTCGGTAATTTGCTTTTTGTGATTATTTTTTTCAAATCTAAAATTATAACCATTTTAATGCTAAATATCCGAATAATCTTCTGTGGTCCGTGGATGCATTAATAGTGGAACCAATCCAAACATTTCCAATACATTGTTATTACATTGTTTAAAACGTTTACAATGTGTTTATTAATTACATTGTTATCACAATTTTTTTAAAACAGATCTTTGTAGTAGCATATACTTATTTTTCTTATTCTTATGACTTTTTGGTACCAATATAATATTAATTTCTTATTGTGATCAGTTTTCTTTCATGATTTGCTAAAGACATCCCCGATTTCACGTACAAACAAAATGTACTTATAGTTCAAGTGAATTATTTGATTTACTTCTTTTCATTAGAAGTATTCATGTATAAACTTTAAAGTTTTAAGATACAAAAAAAAGAGCATGAATAACAATTCTAAATAATATTTGATTTTCAGTTGATTGTCACACAAAAATAATAATATTTTTAGCAGTTTTTAGTAGTTTCTCACAATTGCACTTTTTGAGTTATTCTTTTATCATTTCCTCGATACATTTCTATACATATAAATCGGAGGGGCATTACTAATTTTCATGTGGTGGGATATACATATAACGAGGGCTGTTCGAGTCAGGCGGCCTGACCGGACAGGCTCGTGCGGACTTCCACGTTTGGGGATCTTTTTGGTGGAATTTTTGATGATTTTTTTATCATGTTCCTCATCAAGTCTAATTTATCCATACCAAATTTCAGCTCAAAATTCGATCGGGAAGGCAGTCAAATAAATTTTTGAAACATACTGCTCATTCTGCGCATATATATAAAGAGCAGTATGCTTCTATACTTCCACATATATACTTCTATGTGGAAGTGTATATAAATTTTTCTTTATTTTATTAATAAAATGTATTTTAATTTTTTTTTCTCAAATCAGCAGAATCAGCCAATGCAGTCACTCTAGCCAGAACTTCATAAATTTCAGCAGAATCAGCCAAAACAGCCGATTTTGATGCTACCAAACCGGTTCTAAATGAACTAAAGACACGGATTATGTTTTTCTTTAGTAAAGATGTTTTGGTTTCAATGTTTCATACTCTTAAATTTGCTTTTAAAATTAGAAACAGTATTCGTCAATTAAAAAAAAATTGTGGAAACGTGCTTTGACAAATTATACTTTGTATTAAAAATTAAAAAAATGAAATGTGCGAGTGATCAGCTTTTTCACTGTGAGCTGAGACGTTGATGGGGTCAGCCGAGAACAGCTGTAACAACCCTAATCGTCGGAAAATCTGAAAACAAACGCCGGAGAGACTCGACCACCGTAGACTTTACAGCTGACGGTTACTGTGGAGCTTCCCGCCCGCGCCTGACTTGGAATTGTGCCCTTGTTTGTCGCGCCGTGCTTAAAAGGTCTTCTGCATTATTAAGCACCGTAGGAGGCAAGTTCTATTGCGCATTTATTATTTCGTTGCTTAAGAGTAGATTTTTTTCCAATGGCACGAAAACGGATGAAGCCCAATGAAGCTCCGGTTAACCGAACCTTGTGTTGGCGTGAGGAAATGGAAGAGAGAACTCAAAAGCTCTCTTCAGTTTTAGATTACAGCGATCCCTATTGCATGTCTAATTTATGGCAAAGCATGGACTGTGGGAAGTACGGGAGTGTGACAAAAGAGATTGAGGAGCTTTTGTGTCAAAGCAGAAACTACATCCAGTCATGCTATGCAAGGGACCCTTCACTTGCTGATAAAATCATTGAACTGGAAAACAATTTCACCACAGAGGGTAGGGGAGGCCAAGATGGTACTGGTGTAATAGATTTGGAGGATGACCATGGTGCTGCGAATGTTCCAATAGCTCGCTTTGTGCCTGCTGCTCAGCTTGTCCCTTCAGCTGGCCCTCTAGTTATCATTGATTCAGATGATGAAGACACCCAGACGCTTAATTTCACGTTCCAGGGAATACATAATGAGGTAAGTTTGTTAAAAATATTTTAATCTATGCAAGTTTTTCACATAAGATAGATGGTCAAAGCTAGCAATTCGTATTATATCTCATTTTACATTCTTTCGGATTACTATAAGCATATGAATAACAGTGGCTTCTTTATAAAGACTTGTGAATGCATTTACCACTTTTTCCTCAACTTTTACTTGTAGAACCCCCAATTGGAGCATGGACCTAAAGCTTTGGCAGTAAGGTCTTTTCAGAATACAGGTAACTGTTTGCTTGACATATTATTTGGTTCTGCAATTGAGGAGGAAATTGAACTAACAGTTAACTTGCACTATGCAGCTTACGTAGATGCTTCTGCTGATGCATTTAATTATGCTAAACATGTAAGTGCTCCTTTGTTGGTTTGATTTTATTCGTTTGAGATGTGTTAATCTCCTCTTTAGTAATTTTTTACACTTAATATAGCAAAGGCAGAATGATTTGTGTTATTCTTCCTCGAAATGCCTGAGTTCAAACTTACCAATGAACAAGCATGAAAGGCTCCTGTGTCTGATTTAGCTACTCCATATTTATTTACTTTGCATTATCTTGTTCAATACCGTTCTCATTATTTTTGGGGCACATGTATGAACATTCCCTTCTTAATGCTACATCTATCTGATTTAGGGACTGGATTCACCTGGAACCAAGATGCTTATAGAAAGTGAAAATCCTGCTCTTCAAACTGAAAAAAGCAAGGACAAGGGCTCCTATGTTGGCGTAGAGGACGATTCAGAAACAGAGGATGGAGATGGAGATAATTGTGACGGGTTAGATGATATATGGAATGAAATGTCGTTTGCAATAGAATGC